TCTTCTCTTCTCTTCTCTTCTCTTCTCTTCTCTTCTCTTTTCCCTCCCTCCCTCCCTTTCTTTCTCTCTCTCTCTCTCTCTCTTTCTCTTTCTATCTCTCTTTTCTCTCTTTAACTTGATAGGAAGAAATTTATATAATCAGATTTCTGGTTCAAAAACCAGTGATTTCACATTTCTGCTAGTATATAAAGTTCTGCTTTTTTTAAATTTACTGATCTCGGTTAAAGTATATATGTACTCTGTTACTTCAGCTTGCTACTAAATGGTTTCAGAAAATGGGAAGCACTCACAGGAAAAAAAGAACTTGATATTTTGTGAACAAATACTCTATTTCAAACAATTTTTCTCTAATTCTAAAAATCTGCTGTAAAATAAGCCACACACATGAATGAGTTCTGAGTTCAGTTTAAATCAGGTTACAGTAATTTGAAATAGACACTTTTTGACCAAGTCTATCTAATTAGTGTTTCAAAATTATAGGTTAAGCTTTAACATTAAAACCGCTGCACTCCTAAGCAACTGGTGAGGTTACTTCAGAATCCAGGGAATGTTTTAAAAAATACTCTGGCAAGTCTGAACCTACATGCACGTGACTAACTGCAGTCAAATCTATCTTCAAAATAAATAAATAAAGAAACCATTGGAGTTTGAGCCACAAGGTTAAAGTGAGTCATTTTCAGAGGGAAGTCTAGTAAACCGGGATTGAGAGATGTGGAAAACTCAAGCTATCCCTTCAAAATGTGGGAACTGTAAAAAAAAAAAATACACAGGATCTGAAAAAAAAAAAAGCTTTTTTTTAAAAAAAAAAGTCCTAAATCATCAATCCAAACTTCTGGAGATTATGCAAGCGAAGACATTTCAAAGCAATAATTAAAAAAACTCTGTTTGCTGAAGGGTCAAAGTTTTGCTGAGGCTTTGGTGTTTTGGGGAGAGCTACTCAGTCTAATAGGTCTAGAGGTCAAAATATCACAGGAACAATCTCTGCCTGGGTTACATTAGCTATAGTCTCTTGATATATGGTGGGATTATCAGTTTGTCTTTCTGGCCTCCTGGTAAGAATTTTTCTGTCTGTGCAGTGTGTTGTAAGCAGTGTGAACATCGCTGTCCTCTGGGATGACCTCAAACATGCTCGTTTTCGGCTTTTGCCTGTTTCTCCCCAAAATGCAGAAGCCTGGTAGCTTACCTGGYCGTGCTGTATGGGCCAAATACACCTTTCCTAGATAATTTCCTAGATCATTTCTTGGAGTAATAAAAGTACTATATCCATCTGTTAAGTTTTGTGGTATAGTACTGTTGATTATTAGACCTTTTTACTTTATATTTTGATGAAACTAGATTTTTTTTTGACCTTAGGTGCTATTGTACCCTCAAAAATAAGTGTTCTGGATACCTGGAATTACTTTGTTTGTCCTTCAGGGAATTCACATAAGCAAATTCACTCTGATGATACAGTTCTCATAGCAGATTTTCAGTTCTTTTGTCCTTGTCTGCATTGAAAAGCTGCAAAAAAACCCACTTGGTCTGCTTATTTGTTCATATATACCAACAAGTACTTAAGAACTACTGTAGACAGTACCTTTCAAAAACAGAATTTACAAAGTTTTTACTGCCGGGCGTCTCAAACGTGGATCAGCGGCAGCAGGGTATTCAGAAGGTGCCTGGCGACTGCTTCCTGACTTCTTCCTTCACGTACCCAAATAGTCTGCAGATTGGCCACCAGTAACGACGTGCAGCTACTGGCGAGCGAGTCAGTGGCACGGAGAGGCCCGGGCAGCCCAAGGGGTCCCACAAAGTGCAGAGGCAGATCCACGTCCTGCCTGCCCGTGCCTCCGCGCAGGGCTCTGCTCGGGCAGCCGCCCCGTGGCCACATYCACGGGGCGCGGACGACTCCTGCCCGAAGTCACTCGGGGCTCAAGGGAGCTTCAGTCGCCCGTGGTTCTTTCTGAGCTTGATGCCAACTGCTCAAGAGCCCACTTGGCAGCATCGTTAAGCACCAAGCRTAAAATTTCAGCAATCCCTAAGCTAAAGAAAATGGTACAAACAGGCTAATACATGTATTTTTGAGCTAAGCTGGTAATGTTGTCTTGATATGGATGATGGCTTGCAGGGAGGTGAGCTACAGAGGTGACTATATAGCTTATGTTCCATAGCAGTAAGGAAAAGAAGTGTATATTTGAATGCTCTGTTAAATGCTCTGTTCAGATATGGCCACTGCAGAGGAGCTGAAGACTTAACTGCCAGTTGCAGCAGCCTGGAGTGTTTCCACCTTGAATACTACTGCAGCAAGCACTAGATTTTAATATTTTTCCTGCCTTCCCAGTTGTTTTTAAACTGCAACAAGGGAAGAAAATAGGGTAAATTAAGAAGTTATTATACAACTTCTTGTAAAACTGTGAGTATATTCTTAAGATTCACTTAATCATTAATTCTTTTTGTCCAGTGTGACCAGAATTTCAAAGAAGTAGGCCCCTTCATCCCCTTTTTTTCCATGCAGGGAGTATCCAGAGGCTCCTAGATATTCCTTATTTTAAAAAACTTTCCCGACAGAGACAAATGTAGTCTGATCAACCATTTCAGTATTTTTTAGRCGTTTGGAAAAATCTTTTAGGTCAGTTTTTTTCTTTTCTGTTAAAATAAGATGGCTGGTTTTGATTGTTATAGACAATCTAGAGACCCATAGACCAGCTTTGTGCCGTGAGGTGCTAGGCTATGAGAAGCTGGATTATAGGGAAAAAATGAATTTTAAATGCAGCAACATAGTCCACAGAGATATACAAAAATCCTGAAGGCACTTATGGATAGAAGTACATCATTTTTCACTGAAGTTAGATTTTGCTCCATGTAGACTGAAACTAATAGCTAATGTATGTCCCCCCTGAAAAGGTAAGACATCYGGGGTTTAAAGAATCCCAAATTAACTTCAGCAGTCGCAGTTGGGGATCTGGACAGCATTGTGGATCTGGACAGCTTKGGAAAGGATCTTCGCCCAAAATGTGCCCCTGCTAAAATGAAGGGAACTCTCTGGAGTGCAAGACAATGCATTTACCTTGCTTCAGTACCACACTAACGCATTATATAGATCGAGGATATGAGCTCAGCTGGCATGTTGTATGCATATAGATCATCACAATTAGAAAGAGCGTTAGAGCAAAACAGGGCACTTAGGGAAAAGCTGTGACATAACTCAGGTATCAGAGAGCTTCCTCAAAGAGAAATAAAAGAAATACTTCATGCCCATCGTGTCGCCTTGCTCGCAGCGAGGGCAGACGCTTTCCCATCACGTACTCCGGGGCAGGGAGGCCCTTGGCTCTCTCTGCGAGGGGAAAGGAAGAACTTTGTGCGTTGCTGCAGCCTGGGGTGAGGGCAGCCGGGGCTCAGCGTCACCAGCACCCTGGAGGATTAGCAGCGATTCTGAAGGAATGTCGTTCCTCTAGCACATCCCCTTGCAGAGCCCTGCTAATCAGCTGCTGCCAAGAAGACGCCTTGGTTTATAAGCAGTAGCATAGTGAGAATTTCTGAAAGGGAAGAATGGCTTGGGCTGCTTCCAGGAGGGACAGACATGGGAGCGAAATGTTGCAGTTCCCAGCCAGGAATCGTGGCCCTTCAACTCCAAAACGCCRCCCGGATGCGGGAGATGCAGCAGGGCCGGGTCTGCCCTGCTCAGGCCTTTGCTGCACAACTGCTGAAAGGAAGATCGTTTTTAACCTTTCTAATCCTAGACTTAAATGTTCGTATATGTAAACCTTGATAACCAGATAATATCAGGATAAGTATCTCAGATAATAATGTATGAGAGGCCTGTCACCCTGAGGTGAACACATGGTATTTTTCATAGGTGGTTTGGTTTCCATTTAATTGTAAGGCTTGTCTCAAGTCAAGTTCAGTCCAACCAGCCTG